ATTAACGAAAAATATTACATCCTGTGAAAAGCTACAAAAAAATAATGTTTATCTATCCCCGAATAACAACAATTCAAAAGATGGAGTTTGTTTCATAAGAAGAAGTCATGGGCTTTTAGATGGTGAGATTTTGTTTGAATAATTGTATTTTTAAAGCTCTTCTTTGTTTACAATATAACTGAAAAAAAAAAACAACGATAAAATCGAAGATAGGAGAAATTTGTTAACAGATTATGAAATTACTATTGGGAATTTTGATGAAAGGATCTGCATTTTAAAAGTGTTACATCAAGGTAATCTTTGTATTGAAATATGAGCCAAAACAAATTTTTTCACAATTTTGGAAAAAACATGGGCTATAGCCTTTACTTTTTCGTGAAAATATCAGGTTATTTTGAAAAATGAAAAAACGTGCTTTTTTGACGCAAGATTAATAGAAAAATTATTGGATAGTGCTTATTTCATCGATAAACTCAAAATATAGACATTATAGTATTAACGAAAAATATTATATCCCGTGAAAAGCTAAAAAAAATTAATTTTTGCTTATGTGTTTTAACATTTCTGTTAATAACGGCAAGTCACTTACATTGTGTAAGTAACTAATGGGGGTAAACTTAAAAAGCCTAAGGTTTAATCCTAGAATTTTATTCTGTCGTAACTGTTACTTTACAAATGTGCTGTCAGGCATTTTGTAGGTGACTTGACAACAATATTCAGTGATTGGGCATATATATGCTTTATAAATTTTTAATACTGAGATGGGTTTACGACCCTCATTTTGACCAACAACAAGTATTATATGATTAATGCATTAATTTTCTTTACATGCTCTGACCACATATGTTTTCTAACAAATTTAACACAAAGAAATTTGGCATTGGAACAAAGTTTAATTTTCACACTATCTAATATTTTTACCTTTTTCGCATTTTTTAAATGTTTGTTTAAATTTCTGTAGAATATAATACCTTGAGTTTTAACTAGGTTTAGCATGACCCACCAATCATTATCCCAATCTGTAATTACGTATAAATATTTCTGAACATGATATGCTGTTATTACAAGATTTCTTGATACACTCCAATCAGCAACACCTGCATACTGAGAAAAACACTTATGTTAAATTGGTACGCCATTCACAAATACAATGTACAGGAATGATGAGGGGACAGAGCCTTGCAGGACTCCCAGGGAATAATTTGTGTTATTACAAGGAT